ACTTTCTCACCATTTTGTGTTTCTTTAATAATGATTTTTAAGTCAATTATTTATTTATTACCAATCAAATTATAATCAATTTAACAATGATACATTTATATTACTTACCATTAATTGTGATATTATATCCATAGCCTTGAAAACAACAAAAAAGTATATAATAAGTACACTTTAATGGCATATATTATTAACTTTTGCAGTAAACATATAATTGTTTTATACTTGATAATCAAAAAATTTTTAAAATACATAAAACACATGATACTTACTAAACACAACATTAGAAATACCCAAAAGTATAATAAGAATCTGTATTTCCTTCACAAAAACACACATTTATTCTTCTCATTGAGTGTGCAATAGATTAGAGAAATTTATTCATAGATCACAACAAAACATAATATATTTTTTGAGCAAATTTTATGACAGTTTAAACAATTTGTACACAACATTACACTTAATCAACAAAATTTTGATCCAAAAATTATTTATACATTTTGAAGTCAATGGTTAAACAATGAGATATAAATTTAGTATGGGATATACGGGTAGCAAAATAAAATATTTTTGACAAAAACTTTAATATAATGTAAAAGCATCACTACTATAATACAGTATAACTGTTACACAAAAAACTATTTTATTCATTAACTGTATGTTGAATAATTTTATGTGAAAAATAACACATACAATAAAGTAAAAGAAAAATTATTGACAAACTAAATTACAACTAATGACTGATAAATCAATTATAAACGTGTTTTACTATGTATTTCGACCACACATTCAGCGCCGGCATAATAGGTCTAAAGGTGTGCTAATGTTTTCACTGTTAAAGTGAAAAAATAATTTAATGATAAATCTAATTAAGAAAATAACAACAAAATCGCTTAACACTGAAAATTAGAGCACAAATACTGTACAGTAATCATAAATACAAAATTGTTATAAATTATTGAAATATGTAATTATATTATAGTCTACGACAGAGTCTATGTGTTTGCCTACACTTTGGAGTACAATATCCGTAATTAAATGGGCCTTCGCTTCAATAAACACTTTTGCAAAAATAATTTCGTATTTTTTGTTTTTCTTAATTAGATTTATCATTAAATTATTTTTTCACTATAACAGCGAAAACATTAGCACACCTTTAGACCCATTATGCCGGCGCTGAATGTGTGGTCGAAATACATAGTAAAACACATTTATAATTGATTTATCAGTCATTAGTTGTATTTTAGTTTTTCAATAATTTTTCTTTTACTTTATTGTATGTGTTATTTTTCACATAAAATTATTCAACATACAGTTAATGAATAAAATAGTTTTTTGTGTAACAGTTATACTGTGATATTATAGTAGTGATGCTTTCACATTATATTAAAGTTTTTGTCAAAAATATTTTGTTTTGCTACCCGTATATCCCATACTAAATTTATATCTCATTGTTTAACCATTGACTTCAAAATGTATAAATAATTTTTGGATCAAAATTTTGTTGATTAAGTGTAATGTTGTGTACAAATTGTTTAAACCGTCATAAATTTGCTCAAAAAATATATTATGTTTTGTTGTGATCTATGAATAAATTTCTCAAATCTATTGCACAATCAATGAGAAGAATAAATGTGTGTTTTTGTGAAGGAATTACAGATTCTTATTATACTTTTGGGTATTTCTAATGTTGTGTTTAGTAAGTATTCATGTGTTTTATGTATTTTAGAAATTTTTTGATTATCAAGTATAAAACAATTATATGTTTACTGCAAAAGTTAATAATATATGCCTTTAAAGTGTACTTATTATAAACTTTTTTGTTGTTTTTCAAGGCTATGGATATAATATCACAATTAATGGTAAATAATAAATTTGTCATTGTTAAATTGATTATAATTTAATTGGTAATAAATAAATAATTGACTTAAAAATCATTATTAAAGAAACACAAAATGGTGAGAAAGTTTGCAAATGCAAGACCACTGATGGACTGGAGGGCACATGTATGCCATACACCTATTGCTTCCATGAATACGATGACATGACTTCACTACAAATGAATACCTGTCTCAGAGATATCGGTCAACCAACCGGAGTAATGGGTGTTTGTTGTCCTGTTAGAGGGCTTTCTAGAAAACCTGAACTTCCAAATAGTAGGCAATTGTCCACAAAGTGTTGTTATATTTTAATATCAATTGATTGCTATACTATTAGTTCCCTATCGACGTCCCAGACGTTACCGAAAAGCAGCCATTCCTGTGAACATAGATCACATACTACTCGATGAGGCCATCACTGATGGCAAGAAAACTTTTAGCAAACAATTATCGGACGAAAAGAAACTCATTAAAGCAGGTTTGAGTTGTTTTTAAATATATCGAGAATATATTTGTGAAAATAGTTTTCGGTCAGGTTTTCATCAACACAATGACACAATGGAGAGCTTTCATCAGGGTTTCTTTGGTGCACCCGATAAACACAGGCGGGATATCAACAGAAACGGGTGTCTTATTCTCGAGACATCCAGATCTATGGCCAAAAAGTATCACTTTTTATAACTTTAATAACTTTTAATTATAGTTTTAAATCATATAACTGTTTATAACATATTGTTTAGATTGAAACTAAGTCCCGATAAATGTCATGATTATCTCAATGAGTATCATTTGGACGAGACATCCCTTAAGGAAAAATGCGTTACAGAACCTAAATGTGATCCTAAATATAAATACCGATCCATTGATGGCAGTTGTAATAACCTTAGGCATCCACTTTGGGGACGGTATGTTTAATAGTGAAATCACACATCTAATAACAGTTATATGGATATACAGAGCAATGAGCCAATTGTCCCGTCTTTTGCCGCCATATTATGCCGATGGGATCGACACATTCAGACAATCTATCGATGGTTCAGACCTTCCCGGCACTCGAGAGCTGTCAGCTTTGGTGAGTTGACTACATATATACATTAGATTTAATATAATTCACACCTTTATCAATTCAATTATTTGAAAACTATAGCTCACACAAACTGGGGACCAAGAGCACCCGAGTATATCAGTTTTGTTCTTACAGTTTGGACAGGTATGCCGACATACAAATTGATTTATGACATGAAAATTCATTATTGCATTAAAGTTTTTAGATCACGACATGAGTCTCGGTCTCAATACTAGAGGTTTAAAAATTACAAAATTAAAAAAATAAAATTTATATTTATATTTAAAAATTATTTAATCAGCCGATACAGGAGAGGGTCTCTCATGTTGTAAGCGGACAGAAAATGGACAGTTAGTTGAACACCCGGCCTGTAAGCCTATTCTCATTCCTCCGGATGACTACTTTTATAGTAAATTCAATCAGACGTGCCTTAATTTTGTGAGGAGTATACCTGCGGCTACCAGTGCCTGCACACTAGGTTCAAAAATATTACTTTTTCTGCTTAACCCCATTAATTAATAATAAATATCCAGGTCCTCGAGAACAGGCCGGTGCTGTCACTCACTTCATCGATGGCTCACAGATATACGGCAGCAATGAGGACAGGATGAAGGCTGTCCGTGCCTTCAAAGATGGTATCGATTCATTGATTTTGATATTTTTAAACCCAAAAAACAATATCACAAAACNAGAACAGGCCGGTGCTGTCACTCACTTCATCGATGGCTCACAGATATACGGCAGCAATGAGGACAGGATGAAGGCTGTCCGTGCCTTCAAAGATGGTATCGATTCATTGATTTTGATATTTTTAAACCCAAAAAACAATATCACAAAACATTAGTATTGATTTTTTAGGTAAACTTAAAGTATCCGTAATAAATGGCAAAGAATTCTTGCCGTTTGACACGAAAGGGCTGTCAGTTGTTTGCAGAGCACCTGAAGGACAGCACTGTGTTTACGCCGGTATGCCAGCAATAGTTAGAAAAAAATTTACTAAAATATTTGATACATTTCTGTATGAAAAGGCGATATAAGAGTGAACCAACAATTGGGTCTAATTATACTTCAATTGATATTCTTGAGGTAAGCCTCTCTAACCCATATATGTGTCTAACTTAATAATAAAGAATTTCTATTCAATTAATATTTATTCTAATTAGTAAAGTAATATTAAATTTCTATTTACTTGTATAGAGAGCACAACAGAATTGCAGACATACTTAAGTCTCTAAACCCAAGTATTAATCAAATTATTATTATATAACATGTCATTGATTATTGAATAACAAGTGGTGTCTATGTCTATGAAAAGGATGGACCGATGATATACTGTTTGAAGAGACCCGCAGAATAATCGGCGCTCAACTCCAGTGGATTACATACAATGAGTTCCTACCCCTGGCTATAGGTTTATAAGTGGCTATAAATTCAATTTGTTTTTGCTATACAAACACATCTGTTTAGGTCGCCGTGCGATGCAAGTGTTTGACCTGTTCCCGAGCCCCTGGGGCTACTCCAACAAATACAAAGACTATTATAACCCGGGGGTTATCAACGAGTTTGCAACGGCAGCCTTCAGATGGCATACATTGGTCCGGGTATTGAGATATTTGGTGGAAATAAAAGTTTTATTCAATGTGCTAATTATTATCTGAATTTACTGTTTCAAGAGTTTTTACCATTTACTGGACTCGGAAGGGGAGTATACATTACACCTGCAACTCCGCAATATATTCAACGACCCGTCACCTCTTTATAAAGCCGGTGCTGTCGATGAGGTGCTCTATGGGACGGCAGTACAGGCTTCGCAGCAATTCGATAGTATAGTCACTGAAGAAGTTAGTGAAGAATATTCTCGAAATAATTATTATTTTATTTTTAACTCTTTTTCACTGATTCTATGCATAAATATTGAAAACTTAAACTAAATTCTTGATTTAATTTACATATGTTTTGTAATTGATTTACAGCTAAAGCATCAGTTGTTTCGGCCGCCAAACGGCTTATTCGGTGGCGACTTAATCGCCACTAATATCCATAGGGGTAGGGATCACGGGCTGCCTCCTTATAACAAGGTGCGAGAGATCTGTGGTTTACCAAGGTTAACTAGCTTTGATGACTTGGATCGTGCGTTTCGCAGCGGAATCGGCAGGAATTTTGCCAAATTGTATAAAAGTGTTGACGACATCGACCTGTTTATGGGCGGCATTCATGAGAAGCCGGTTAAGGAGGGTATCCTCGGACCAGTGTTTGCCTGTATTGTCGCCGAACAGTTCAGACGATCTAAAGGTACCACAATATTAGACACTAAACCTTATAATCAGTTTAATTTTAGTTTCATTTTCATTTTTGTGTTTTCAGAGGGCGACCGTTTCTGGTTTGAAAACTTTGGTTTCAGTCACTCGTTCACTGAAGGTTTGCAATCAATTTAATCAAATTAGTTGCTTTCTCATTATAATTAGATTAGAGTTTTAAAAATTATCATTTCTTATGCTTTCGTGTGTTTATCCGCACAAACAGCACAAATATATGAGATCCGAAAAGTGAGTCTAACGAGCATTATATGTGCGAATGGCGATGACGTCCAATACTTCCAGCCCTTAGCACTCGTGCAGCCTATTAATGGGTAATTAATTAATTCAATTTTTAGTTTTTGACTTGGTGATTTATGAGATTATGTATTTTTTGGTGTTTTGCTTGTTTACTTCGAAACCTTTTAGCAACCGTTTGATGGATTGCTCGCAAATATCTCACATGAATTTGAATCACTGGAAGAATGAGAAGGTTTAGGCGTTTTTTAGGAAAGTTATTATTAATGAGTAGAAAATTATTGTTTAGTTAATTATATATATTTTATTGTAATAAATTAATCATTATTTGTACGAAATAAACTATAATATTTTTCATTAATACACGAATCATAGTATTTCTTTTTTTAATGATTTTGTTTTTCTTGTTTTTAATAACTATTGACTTATTGTTTGTTTCTTTTATTAAAACTAATGATTGTTTTCTTTTTTGTAATAAAAACATCTCCAAATATAAATCATATGACGTTTGATACACTATAAATAGAAACTTATATATATTTCTCAATATATATCAAGAATATTCTTTAATCCCATAGCCATAGGTGGCGTGTAATGTGTACGGAATAGCGTATAAATCAATGACATTCTTGTGATAACTATATGTTGTTATATTTAAATGAAAATAAAATAATAATCTAATCAATATTTTTTCAATTTATTAAAATATTAGACTCTATCATTAAATATACAAGCATTATAATTAATAAATAGATTATTATCATTATATCAAAACAATTTCTTTTCTTAAAGAATTAAAAAGTTTCCAAAGTTTTATTAAACTCAAATGCCCAGTAATAATCCAGTTGATAGCAGTCTTAAACGTACATATATATTTATGAACGGCTATTACAAGTATATGACATGATTTTAATAAATAATGTTATGTAAAGTCATAAAAACAAAAACATAAAATAGGAGCTAATCAGGTGTACAGACATTTAGGCGAATTGTGCCTCAAATGTGTATTTTATTATTCCGTATCGCAAGCAAAACAGAGAGCCATACAAGCGATAGAAGGGGGGAGAGTGGGGGAAGGACTACCAGAATCGAGTACTATATCTGTACTACCAGTGCCATGAATTTGGCCATAAATACTGGAGTTTCATAAACACACACAACGAAAAAAGCGGCTGATTCTATTATTGTATTTGTTATACTATTTTGTGTTTTTATAAACAAGAAAAAAAGTACAGAAAAAACAGATGAGAGTTGAAGATCACATCGAAATTCAATATAAACGGTGTGTTTGTATTGTGAGGAGAGAAAAAGATTACATAAAAATCGCAGTGAGAAACAAGTATTGGCACCAAAATTGATGTGTGAACTAAAGCCATAAAATGTATATTTTTTGTGTATTTCTCAATGATTCTGGGTCTCAGGAATAATGCATTTTTCTTATTCATGACATTTTCCACTCCATATTATTATTCTCATACATATACATAAATATATTGCTATAAATTTATTTAATGTCTTATACCGTATAGATTTTACATGAAATACATGAGTGAAAAAGCCTTTTACATAAATATTACATTAAGAAATGTATTTTACTTCTCATATTATATAAAACGATAGCTTCTATTATATTTCAATAAAGGTTTTTATTTTTTATTTTA